GAAAACAGAGTTAACGTTTCGGGTCTGGTGACCCTTCTTCAGAACTCGGGTCACCGGACCCGAAACATTAACTTTGTTTTCTCCTCCACAGATGCTGCCAGACCTGCTGGGCTTTTCCAGCAACTTTGTTTTGTTCCTGATTTACAGCATCCGCAGTTATTTTGGTTTTTAATGAAATGTTGACATTGGAAACACAGTTGTGGGTTGAAGTGCCAGGAACTAAAACACAAGGAAATGGTTCTGGCGGATTGCTGACTAGGAAGGGGAGGGGAATATGTGTCTATTGGTGGCTTCTCTACACTTCTTCGAATGGTCAGAAATTGGGATGCTCATTAGTTATAGAGTCATAGAGTCATACAGCACGGAAACAGACCTTTCGGTCCAACATGTCCATGCCAACCACAATTCCCAAACTAAACTAGTCAGACTTGCCTGCATTTGGTCCATATCCCTCTCAACCTTTCCTATTCGCGTACTTAGCAAAATGTCTTTTCAAATTTGTAACTGCACGGGCATTTACCACTTTCTCTGGCAGTTCATTCCACATATGAACTACCGTCTCTGTGTAAAAAAGTTGCCCCTTGGGTCCCTTTTAAATCTTTCTCCTCTCACCTTAAAAATGCGTCCCCTAATTTTGATCTCACCAATCATAGGGGAAACACCTTTGCTATTCACGTTATCTATGCCCTTCATGATATTATAAACCTCTATACACTCCAGTGGAAAAGGTTACAGACTATCCAGCCTATCCTTATAACTCAAACCCTCCAGTCCCAGCAACATCCTGGTAAAACTTTTCCGAACCCTCTCCAATTTAATAATATTCTTCCTATAGCAGGGTGACCAGAACTGTACACAGTACTCTAAAAGAGGCCTCACCAATGTCCTGTACAACCTCAATGTGACATCCCAACTCCAATACTCAATGGTTGAGCAATGAAGGCAAGTGTGCAAAATGCATTCTTAACCACCCTATCTACCTGTGATGCAACTTTCAAAGAACAATGTCCCTGAACCCCTAGGTCTTTCTGTTCTACAATACTACCCAGGACCTGAGCATTAACTGTACAACTCCTGCCCTTGTCTATTTTACAAATTGCAATACCTCACATTTATCCAAATTAATCTCCATCTGCCTCTCCTCAAGAATGATCCTTGACCAAGATTCATTTGTAATCTTAGATAACCTTCTTCACTGTTGACTATACCACCAAATTGTTCAGTACCATTTGTGACTCCTCAGTTATAAGCATTTCATGTTCAAATGCAACAAGAACTGGACAATGTCCAGGCTTGGGTTGACAAGTAGCAAGAACATTCATGCCATGTAAATGCCAAGCAAAGACCATCTCCAAAAAGTGACAATCTAACCACCATCCCTTAACATTCAATAGTATTACCATCACGGAATCTCCCACTATCTACATCCTGGAGGTTGCCATTAACCAGAAACTCAAATAGACTTGTCACATAAATACAATGTCTGCAAAAGCAGATCAGAAGCTTGGAATACTGCAGCAAGTACAAGTCAGGAGTGTAATGGAATAATTCCCACTTGTCTAGATGAGTGCAATTCCAACAACATTCAAGAAATGTGACACGATCCAGGACAAAATAGCCCACTTAATTATACTGCATCCACTAACATCTATTCCCTCCACCATTGATGCTTCTAGCAGCCGTGTGTACAATCTACAAGATGCACTGCAGGAATTCACCAAAGATCCTTCGACAGCATCTTCCAAACCCACAATCACTTCCATCTAGAAGGAGAAGGGCAGCAAATATATGGGAACACCATCACCTGAAAGCTCCTCTCCAAGCCACACGCCATTCTTACGTGGAAATATATCACCATTCCTTCACTGTCACAGGGTCAAAATCATGGAATTCCCTCCTAAAGGGCATGGCAGGTTTATCAACAGCATATGGACTGCAGCAATTCAAGAAGGCAGCTCAACACCAACTTCTCAAGGGCAACTCGGGACAGGCAATAAATGCTGGCCCAGCCAACAACGCCTATATTCCATGAGTGAATAAAAAAAAGTACCTTATCCTGCAGTGTGGGGGTTATTGTTAATGAGATGATGAATTATCCCCAAATGTGATTCTAAATTTGGTTCTATCTTGTTCTGTATAAACTGATTCTACATCTTGATCTTTCGAATTAAGTCTCTATTATACAAAGGTAATCCTTACTTAACAGATCCTCCACCACCTTTTTTCAGCTTCTTGTCCTTCTGAAATATCATATTCCCTTGAGTATCCATGTCCCAACTTTCTTCATTTTGCATCCATATCTCTGTAAGATATATCAAAGGCAACAAGATCTAGATAACGTGTGTATTTTTTACTGCTATTTGAGAAGACAATTCACCCTTTTGTTATGCATGCTGTGAATTTTCAGATACAAAGTTTTCAAGTCTGTCTTTTAACATTGTCTGCAACCTTTAGCCTTATCTTACAGATTTGTCAGCTGTGTCCCTTCCTGCTATATTCTGATTCCATTATCCATGTTGCTACCTCAATCACTTCTCACTTTAGTTTATCATATCTTCCTTCACTCGATTTTTTTGCCTGTTCTATTTCATTTGAAGCCCTTTCTACTGCTCTAGTCATTTGACTCACCAGAACATTGATCCCTGCACGGTTTCAATGAATACAATTGCACAGTACAACTCTCACTTTCTCCAATATTGCAATCAGTGACGCACGAATTGAAAGCCATTTCTTATGCACCAATCTTTGTGCAACATATCAATCCTTCTGATCCTATTTACCTTGTACAAATTTATTCACGGCTCATGCTAGAAATTATTAACTTTGTGGTTCTGCATGCTAATTTAATCTCTTGCTGCTCATGATCCAGAAGCTGAACCTCTTTCTTATGTCTTTGTTTCCTTAATGGACCATGGCAACTGGAACCTCCACATCCCCATGCAACTTCTCTTCAGTTCAGAGACTCTGAACCCAGGCACCAGGCAGGCAACACAGACTGTTCTACTGTGGCTGCAGAGAACAGTATCCATCCACCTGACTACTGTGTCCCTTCTATCCCTACACCTTCGTGTACCACAGCCGTGGTCAGTTTTCTCATCCATCCTGAAGCACTTGCTATCTTCTATACAAGCTGCAAAGTTCTCAATCTTGTCAGACAATTGCAGGAGCTGTGGTTCCTCCATTTCTACCTTTCCAGTTATCTTTGCCTTTCCTGCATTTTTCCCAGTCATTCATTCTTGCTGCTTTGTGGCTCCTGTCAACTCTCACATTACTATTTACCACTCACATCTTTTCATGATTCATTTAAATACATTTAATGAATATTTATGTATATTGTTGAATTTCCTTCTGTCCCCTTTGCTTGGACAATAAACAAACAGAATCTATCCATGTTGTGTTAAAAATGACATCAGCTGAATGTATGGTATTTCTAAAATCTGTATTTTTTATCAGGACCTGAGAGGTCTTCAACAGCAGGCACAGTCTTCTGGTTGTTGTCCAGAAATGGCAGACAGAGGCTGTCCAGGCCTAAAGTTCCTTAATTAGATCTGTTAAACTGCCTAGTCTTTCCATGTTCTTGCCACTGATGTCTCACAGATCTGAATGTGGCTGGGCAGAAGGTATGAGGTTCACCAATTATCAATGAACCCACAAAATGATTATGAGTTTGTCGGTTTGTTTGAAATGATTCAAGAAAATGATGCAAGAGGGGTAGGTTACTATCATGATGCACCATTAGCACAGGATCTCCATGCTGGTGCTCCCATTTCCACCATCCTCAGCAAATCTCAGGCAACACAAAAGGACACGCACACCTTTTCTCTCAGCAACTTTGTTATCTGGGAAATAATGTTTCCTGGGTGCAAAGAAAAAGACCCTGATGACTGTCTATTCTCTTTTCTATTTTGTTCTGTCTGATGTTTACTACCTTAAATTTAACATGTTCTCTGTCTTCAATTTTTGTTTCTATCTGGTTAACCTTCGTAAAAATTTCACCCAAATTATTCCCTCCTACTAGCACTGTCTAATTTGGAGTTGGTGACACTCATAGTCTGTTTCTTTCTTATTCTGTCAGCCAAGTGACAAATGACAAAGATCTCTGTGTTAACACGGCTGCAATGCAGAAGTAACAAGGATCTACCACTGACACCTTTGTCTACACTCGAGCAATTTGGGATAAGCCAATGGATGAATAAATCAATTCAACAGTCACCTGAACAAGAGCTCACCTGAATAAATCAACACAGCCACAATCCATCGGCTCTAAGCATCTTTAATTGCCTTTGCTGTTGGAGCCTGGACATTTTTAAAATATACATTGAGCTAAAGTCCTGCACTGGCTTCATTAAGATAAATGTAAATTATTATTAAACATTGTAACATTTTCATTTTCTATTATATAGAACAAATGCATTTGACCTGGATTTATTTCCAGAGGAATATAATATAGATTTCATTCACTTCTGCAGTTCTTCATTCTCCCATTATGTTGAATGAGAATGTTATTCCCTTGTGTCAGTATTCAGCTGAATGGTAATAACTTACCAATATTTCACCGTTAGGAACAAGGAAAGGCAATTCATACTCATGAGCAGCCAACTGGAGATTAAAATTCAGCAAAACAAAAATAAACAAGGGCACACCAGGTGCACATTTTCTTTGCCCATTCTGAAGATTGACTAAACTGTCAATCGCTTTCTCCACATTTAAGCAAATAGAATTTGCAGATGCTTGAATTGCAATTAAATGCACTGCCTGCCCAGGAACATGTTGTCTAGTATGTCTAGTGTAAAAGGTCAAATCCTACTGCCAATCTTGTGCATCTGTTGATGTAAGGGTGATATTTCTGGAATGATAATTGAATACCTTCTTTGACATATCACACCCGATCATTGACTAGTTGTCATTGAACTCCACTGATGACATGGAAACCAAATAAAACCTATTGTAATCAAACAGAGTTAGTCCCTACTGAAAACCGATGCAATGTTTCTCTCTAATTTATTTTGGATTTGCAAAATCGTCACTTATTTTCACTGGTACAATTAGTGGAATGTAATCGTTTATCTATCTGCTTCTAACTTGCTGCTGCTGAGTGCTTGCAGCAACTTTCATTTCTGTAGGTTAAAAGAGATATTGCATAAATTTTCATCTGTATCTATCATCAAATTTGGGCATCTTTCGTCCACCTGTCTGTCAGCCCACCACCACTACCCCTTCAAAATGTTGACAAATGTTTCTTGGCATGCTGTTCAGAAAAGTGGTTAGCAGTGGAATCTCAATGAATCAGTTGCTAGGTCTGGAAACTTAACACTGATTTGACGTCTATTCCTTCTTTCTGTGGGCTTAAATCCTCTTGGCCAGAGCACTCATTGGAAACAGGTTGGAACCTTAATCATGTACACAAATACAGGTCAAAAGGTGCCATTTTAATAGCTATTTTCACCCTTGCCTATCTAACTACTGCCAAATCCTGCTCCCATTTACTGACCCTGTATGATAAAAGTTGCAATGCGATCATGGTAAAAGGGATCTTTGATTTTCAGAGTCACTTCTTTGGTAGCTGGTTGTAGTTTTTCCACATGAGCAGATTTGAAAGCTTATGCAGTAATTGTGTTTTATATCCTCAGCTTGACAGCAAAAAATTACTTTGAACAGCAATGCATGCTCCACAATAAATGGTATATTAACCAGCCACTACAAAGACATGAGATAATTGGATGTCATAGGACTTTGGAATATCTGTGGCCTTGGGCAAAAAGAGTCTGAGGGGCAGCAGCAATGGTATCATATTAATGTAATACCTTTACTGTCATTAAACATTCCCACGATTTTCGTATTATACAACAAAGTCTGTCAGCAAGACATATAAGGAGATATCAGTTCATATGGCCAAAACCTTGGTTGATGTATTTGATTTTCAGGAGTATCCAGAAGGAGGGATGTGAAGTCTGGAAGTGGAGAGGTGTTGGAGGGTGTGGAGTGGGTGCCTGGAATTCTGGAACGTGGAGCTAGAGTCAACTAAAGGCCATGAATAATACAGTAATTATGTTTGCAAGAACACAAGATGCCAAAACTAGAAGAGTGCAGAATCTCAGGGGGTTATGTGGTTGGAAGAGATTACAGAGCTAGGGATGTGCAAGGCCATGGATGGATTTGACAAAGAGGATCAGAATTTTAAAACCAGAATGTTGCTTGAAGGGGAGACAATCTAGATCAGTTAACGCATGGGCGATAGGGAATCAAAAATTTGTGGTAAATTAAAAGACAGGTGACAGTGTCTTGAGTGACCTCAAGTTTACAGAGAGTAACATGTGAGAGGACAGCCAGCAATGCATTAGAAATGTTAAATTCAAGATTTAAAAGGGACCTAAGAGGGTGACATATGTTCTAAATGAGCTGCCAGAGGTGTGACTGGTGCAATTATAAATTTAAAAGGCATCTGGACAGGTACGTGAAGAGGAAGAGTTTAGAGGGATATGGGGCAAATGCTGGCAAATGAGACTAGATTAATTTAGGATATCTGGTCATTATCTACAGGTTGGACCAAAGGGTCTGTTTCTATGTGGTACAACTCTGTAACTCTATGACGGTAAATCCAGTCCCAGCATGATTCAAATGAAGCCTGTCCCAACAGAGCAGCTCTCCCTTTCCCCAATACTGTTGCGAGTGCTCCATTCATTGGTAACCAGTTCTCCTACACCAACCATTGAGTGACATATTTACCTCCTTAGCCTTATTTATCTTACACCAACTTACATGTGGCTCAGGTAAGTAATCTGGAGATTACTACCTTTGTGATTCTGCTTTGTAATTTAGTCCCCAGATACTCATAATTTCTCAGCAGAAACTTTTTTACTATTCCTATGTGAGTCATTGGTACCTATATGGACCATGACAACAGTATCCTCCCCTTCCATTCCAAATACCTCTGCAGCCCAAAAGCATTGTCCCTACCCCAAAATGTTAACTCTCTTTCTTTCCACAGATGCTGCCAAACCTGCTGAGATTTCCCAGCATTTTAAGTTTTTTTTTTTGTCTCGGATTTCCAGCATCTGCAGTTCTTTTTTGCTTTTGTTCAGAGTTGTCCTTCACCTTGGCAACAGTAGACAGTGCAGCCTTCAGGACACTCATTCTTTGCTGCAGAAAAAAGTATCAATTTCCTTAACGATACTTTTCCCTCTTACTACTATATTTATCTTTTCTCTCCACACTTAAATGGCATTTTTTAGATTAGATTTAGACTTTATTGTCATGTGTACTCAAGTACAAAAGTCCAGGAGTACAGTGAAAAGTTTTCAATGCCGCAACATATAGTGCTATTTTTGGTATAAGTACCTAAGTACAAAACTTAAGAATAAGGTAGAAAGAAATAAGGAACAATGTTAAAAGTTAAACATTACAGTCAATCTTAGTATATGACGACAATAAGTCAAATCAAATCAAATCAAGTATAGTGTAACAAAAGAAAGAAATAAAGTTAAAAGTTAAATATTATGGTCCTTTTTAGTATTAAGTCGAAAAGTAAAGAAATGAAGCTAATATGTTCAACCATTGCAATCTTTCTTAAGCGCTTAGCCGTGCCGGGACCGTACATCCTACAAGGGGTCTGTCTCCTCCACTTTGGCATACTTTTCCCAATCTCAATCTCACCTGCCCTTGTCGTCGCTGCAGATGTCAGGGAAACTCTATTGCTGCATTGGGCTCGGTCCTGGGATCTCAGACTGCTCAAGCCTCAATTCAGGCCCAATCCACACCGGGCCTCAATCTAACCTTCAGTCCGCGCATTGGGAACTCACCGAGAGTCCCAGGTCAGGCCCCACCCACTGCATTGCACTGGACATCTAGCCGACTGCCAAACTCAACAAGCCTGTTGCAGTGGCATCTTTCTGAAATGTTTTCCCACGGACCGAAAAAAAAATTTCCTTCCACGGTCAAAGGACAAGGATATTCATATTCTTGAGAAAGGAGTGACTTTCAGACATCTTATTGGGAATTAGCCATCTGCAAATCCTTCCTATTTCAGGTGCTCCAGACACATCCATCACAGTGGCGCTGTGTACAGTCTTACTTTTGTCAGTTGGCTTATCTTCCTTGCCCTCTGTGCCACTGTCAACATAAGGTGATAGAGAACTGAGACGCCCCCAAAACTAAATTCTGGATCTCCATATCTAACTGACTCACAGTCACACCCTACTGTCCCCGACCACGGATCAAATTTGACAACACTTAATCTAAGGAGTGTGACTGCTTTCTGATTCACAGTGTCAAGTTACCCCTCCTGCTCGCTGATGTGTGTTGCTGAGACGCCAGCTCAGCAGCTCTGAGCAAGGAGCACTTACTGCAGAAATTGACACTGGATCACTTCAACATCCTCCCGCTCCCACATACTACAGCTGCAACAGATCTCCTGCCTGATCGTCTCCACCTTAACTAACTAATCAATTTGGATGTTAAATATTTTAAAAGTCAACGTTTTTAACTCTGTGTTTCAGCTGCAGTGAGGTATCTTGATTTAAACCATTTGGCCATTTAAAAGAGACACAGCAGTATAACCCACCAATCATCGACCTGTTTTTCTGTGATGTTGTACTTTCATTGTTGTAAGAAACAACAGAAGACTGTGTGCATAGCCCAGACCACCATGGAAGCCAACCTCCCATCCATGGATAACAAGGTGCAGAGCTGGATGAACACTGCAGGCCAGGCAGCATCAGAGGATCAGGAAAGCTGATGTTTTGGGTCTGGACCCTTCTTCAAAAATGGGGGAGGGGAAGGGGACTCTGAAATAAATTGGGAGAGGGGGAGGCAGATAGAAGGTGGATAGAGGAGCAGATAGGTGGAGAGAAGACAGACAGGTCAAGGAGGCGGGGATGGAGCCAGTAAAGGTGAGTGTAGGTAGGGAGTTGGGATGGGGGTTGGTCAGTGAGGAGGGAAGGGCGGGTAGGTGGGAGGGAAGACGGACAGGTCAAGGAGGTGGGGATGAGGCTAGTAAGTAGAAAGTGGGGGTGGGAATTGGTCAGTGAGGTGGGTGGAGCGAATAGATGTGAGAACCCTGCTCTTCTGATGCTGCCTGGCCTGCTGTGTTCATCCAGCTTCACACCTTGTTATCTCAGACTCCAGCATCGGCAGTTCCTACTATCTCCCACCCATGGACTCCATTTACACAGCTTCTTCCTGGCCATTATTAGACTGAATGGACTCTCTAACTTCAAATAATGCTGATCTTGCTAGTGTTAATCTTGAATAATGCACCCGCTGTGCGATGTAACTCTATGATCTGTATGTCCTTGCTCACTATGGTCTGCCTGTGCTGCTCATAAACAAAGGTTTTCACCATACTTAGGTACTTGTGACAATAAATAAATAAAT